GGAGTAAAATTGATAAAACCAAAATATTTTGGACTCAAATGATAATAAAGTAATTGCTTAGGAAGCTAAATTAAGGTTGCTCCTTTGTAAAATAGAGGATTTCAACGCTGTTTCTGTGATTTTGATCTCGACACTTCGAGGCAGTGCCTAACTGAGCAGCCAACTCTACTCTTACTCTGACTCACCACTAGTAATATCCACACGTGGGAAACATATGACCACACGCAACAGCCGTTCTCTATCTGGCATCTCACCATTTCTCAGACCACCACACAGAACAAAACCACCGCACGATCACCATCCACGTGTCAACCACAAATCGCAAAGACCAACAGTTAAGTTGGACACCATCCCCACACGTTTAACACGCATCAGTAACAATTTCAAAAATTACCACACACGCAACACACGTCCTTAACTACCGGCAATTAGCAGTCAATAACACTCCTCTCTGACCGTTGATCGATTAAGTTAAACCTAAACCGTCCGTTTTCTCTCTGCAACCGGTTATAGCAGATAATTGAAAAGAAAATACGTGCTAGTTTCTTTCCGTCCTCTCCATATAAATAGGCAAGCGCTGGCAAGGCTTTTCAGCCCGGAATGCCCATCTCCTATAATTCGCTTCTCAATTGCCCCTTGGTTTCCTTTTATTCACGGTCTTGCATTACAGGTTATGATAGTAAACAGCTACCGGAAACCTGAGAGCCAGCGCTCCTCTCCTGCTCTCGGTTTCCCTCGCCCGCGTTTCCTTCGCTACCGCCGTTTGAGGTAACTGGTGAAATAGAGTAACTGGAGGGAAAGAGATCTTTTATTGTATTTTTATTTTTTCGTGTAATAGCCTTACTGTCGCTTAAAATTATGCCTCCAACACCAACAAAGGGTTACCGGAGAGGAGGAGGACAGGAACTGGAAAGAAACAGGAAAAATAGGTTAAATGAAAAAGCGTTGTCGTTTCACGGGAAGATACCGGCGGAAATCACGGAGGCGAGGATTCGAAGGCCGAAGACACTCCCGGACTTGCTGGCCGGGAAGAATTTGCCTGCTACGGTACCGGATGTGAGGCCGAAGTTAACGAAGGTTTTACTCAACGTGACTGTCCAAGGAAGCGTTGGTGCGGTGCAGGTTTTGATGTCTCTTGAATCCACCGTCGGCGAACTAATCGCCGCAGCTATCCAGCAGTACATGAAGGAAGGCCGCCGTTCGATCATTGCCAATGACTCCTCCAGATTCGACCTCCATTACTCGCAGTTTAGTTTAGAAAGTAAGATTAATCATCAACAAATCACGCTTTGAGCTCTGTTTATTTTGAGAGGTGGACACGTGTAGGGCGGAGACTGATGGAAACCTTTGAAAATGTTTTTTCTTGGCAGGTCTGGATAGGGATGAGAAACTAATGGCGTTGGGTTCAAGAAACTTCTTTCTGTGTCCAAAAAAATCGGGGATGGTCGGTGCAAGCTGTAGTCGTAGTGGAGGATTGACAACGACGTCGTCTCCGTCATGCTCAAAAGAAGTTAAAGAGGAGGCTGCTAAAAGGGGGTTTCATCCTTGGCTTAAATTCATGGATTTCCTGCTGTGATTAATTAACCACCAGGTGATGCCTACTGGCTAATTCGTTGTCAGAATTGCTATTATTGATAGTCTTTTTTAATGCAAATCGTGGGTGTAAAAATGGGTTTGGGGGGGTTAATTAGGTATTAGAGTGTTAGGTATATTTGTTGGGTCAAATTAGAGCAAGAGATTCTTGAACGCAGTGGTGGAGTAGAAATGTGCAGTGTGGATTGTTGACCTATAAATTTTCCTCTCTATTGCTTTGAATCAATGGAGAAGTGAATGTAGGTTTGTACATTTTCTTGTTTATTTTTTTTTATCGTTATTATTATGCTGATAATGATTTTATGGAAATTACCAAGATCTTGAGCTTGTAGTTTAGCATTCTCTTTTCTTCATTTATGATTACAATGAGAGGAAACCTAAGAAATCATGATCCATCATGTTTCTATGATTTCAATTTGTAACATGCAAGGAAAAGAGATGAGACGAGACAAGATTTAGTCGGAATCGATCATTTCCTTATCAATAAACACCTCTTTAGCATTCAAAACGTGAAGTGTATGGATATATTATATGATAACGATATATGAAACTTTATGTGACGAGGGCAAACAAAACATGTGACTCTGCTGTCCTATTACAGTATTACCCAACCTGCGGTTAGATACTTCAGACATTTTACTTCTATTTGGGTGGATCCTCTTGTAAATATTTACCGAGCACGGCATGATTATTAAAATAATAGCTAACTTGATACAGCCAGAATTGAATCCTATTTGAAGTTGGCAGGAAATAAAATTAATATATTAAAATTCAGTTACTCTAGGCGAGTTTTTGATGACCAGGTCATACATGTTAATTTCAAGATTTTTTTTAAATAAAATAATATTATTTTAAAAAATAAATGACCAAGACTAGCATGTTAACAAACGAATTGATTTAGTGATTTCATTTTTTTTTTCAAGTCAGTATTCGAGCTAATTCTAATGATTATAGTTAAAATAAAATTAGTTATTATTTTTTAATATAGTAGATAGAATATATTCTTTTGAAGAAATTTAATAACAATCAATGCCTAAATTAATGCCTCAATCCCACTAGCATGCAACTAGTTTTCACCCGCATAAGTGTGCGTGAAAGCCTTCCACCTATCTTTTTGCAGCCGGCCCTAATGCAATGAAAAACATCGAAAATGGAGAGAGCTCAGCTCGTCACACTCCTCGGTGGATAATTCAGTTACATCTCGATTCATTTTAATTTCTAAAATAAATAAAATAATGTTTTAATTTTTTCTTTTTTCTTTTCTTTATAATTAGGACAACCTTCCAACTAGGCCGCTGCAATAATTTTGACTCTGACGACTCAATAACTGGAAACTCCAACCATCCTACAGGCTTGCCCCACAAATTGACAAAGGAAGCTGCCTAGAAATGGACTGGCATTAGCTTAAGCTAACGGGGCCTTGCCAATGCCTTTCGTCATCAAGTAAAAGTTCTTGAACTTTTTTCCAAGATCAGATCAATATCATCACAGGTTAATTTTCAGTCCAATCGAACAGAACAAATTCAAGTAATCACCGTGTTAAAATATACACCCCCGTAAAATTATTATTATTATTATTATAGATATCCAAATTAATTTATATAAATCTCAATTAATTTTTAAGATTTTAAAATTAAATATCAAGTAAGTTTTTATTGATTTAAAATTTTATAAAACTTAAATTAATTATTTTTAAGAAATAAATTTAAAACTTAGCTAATTAAATTGTACTTTTTAATATTTCATAAAAATTATTTTATATTTGATTAACACATTATCCTTACAAATATAAACCATACTACAATCTTTTTTTTGTGATAATTATTCTTTGTATTTTACAATAATCATTTTCTTACTAAATTCAGCGTGGAGTAGTCACATAGCAGAAAAAATTAAAATAATATTATCAGATTAAATCAACATGAATCAATTTGGATAGCAATTTCTCTCTTTGTTTTTCTTTTTTTTAGTTCCCACACACACTATTGGTATATAGAGGCGCTACATCATCAAACTACTCATTTTCTTATCATAGTTGCACGCGGAACACATCAAAAATACCTCTGTAACCGGTTCACTTTATGCTCGAAGGAAAGAAGAAACACGTGCTTTCATGCGGGTTATGCTTCCCAGTGGATTTCAAGAAATCACCGTGTTAAACTATGCACCCCCTTAAAAATTATTATTATTATTATTATTATGGATATCTAAACTCGTTTATACATATCTTACTTAATTTTTAAAATTTTAAAATTAAGTATCAAGTAAGTTTTCATTGATTTTAAAGTTTATAAAACTTAAACTAATTATTTTAAAAAAATAAATTTAAAATTTAGCTAATTAAATTGTACATTTTAAAATTCCATAAAAGTTATTTTATATTTGATTAATATGTGGTTGTTGGGGTCATTGCTGGATGGTCCATTTTCCTTACATATAAACCATACTACAATCTTTTTTTTTTTATATAATTATTCTTTGTATCTTACAATAATCATTTTCTTACTAAATTCAGCGTGGAGTAGTCACATAGCAGAAAAAATTAAAATAATATTATCAGATTAAATCAACATGAATCAATTTGGATATCAATTTCTCTTTGTTTTTTTTTTTTAGTATATATATATATACACACACACTATTGGTATATAGAGGCGCTACATCATCAAACTACTCATTTTCTTATCATAGTTGCACGCGGAAGTTTCATGCGGGTTATGCTTCCCAGTGGATGGGTATCGAGCAACTTGTGGTTCACCAAGACAACACCAAAAATCATATTTTTATTGTGGTGCAATCTGTGCTGCCCTTTTTTTTCAACCTTTCAGATTTCCCTTTTTCAAATTTTCAAATTTCAAATTTGGATGATGACGAACCTTGAGTTGCTTTCCTTTTTTCAAAATTTCAACCTTTTTTTTCCTCTTTTCAAATTTCAATCATGGATGATGACGAACCTTGAGTTGCTTTCTAATAAATTGGTCGAGTGTGCAGGACTTCTGGATTAGCAAAAGGCTCGTGAATTCAATTGGGTTTTCAATATTTCTCAGAAGTCCTGAATTTCAACCATGCATTGAAAACACAGATTTTCTCCCGACACTCGGGAAAAATCTTATGCCTGTTGCTTTGTATTCCATGATATCCTATGAATTGATTTCTTCTTCTCTCACTACTCGATGTTCTGTGATGTTTGAACTTCACAGGTCTGGATAATTTGTGTGAAATAAACATTTTGTCAAAAAATTAGAGCATCATCATTTCTTTATGGCCGCTTTGTGATTGTCTAGTGCATGTTTCCGCATCTTTTTAGCAGTATTATTCACGTGTCCTCAAGCTTTTGAAGTTTCTACTTTCTAGGCTTGCAGAACGATCCAGTTCACCACACATCGTACATAGCGAAAACCAGAACATGACTTGACAAGAAATTGAAGCAGACTTAATAAAAACATGTCCCTGTCAAATCATTGTAGCCTACATAATTTATACCCAGTCAACAATCCCAGAGTGCACTGGAGGAAACATTGTTGAACACAATAATCGTGCATTCAAACAAATTATATTTATTGCAAAAATTAAAATTGCTTACTACAGCACAAGCGCTTGCTCTGAATCCTCAAAATGGCTAGAAGAACTCAAAAGCTCATTCTTCTGTTGGCCTTTGCCCCAAAACTGGAATATCTTCATAACGTTTCTGCAGTAAAATGAAACATATCAGGGGCATTCAAGGAATAAACCAAGCACATTCATGAAATTCAAGTTTACCACCAACTTAAATTAAGCAACAGCATTTGAGTTTGGCTCTTCATATATTCAAATGGAGAGCAACTAATTCATTAATCAAGAGCAGTTACAGCTCTGAGGTTCTGAGACTCAAGTAGACGAAGGTAAGTGACAACTGTCACTACTTAACTGAAGAAGGCCTAGCAGTATAGCCATAAATCTTTTTAGTATAATCTGGAGATTTGGGCCAATTTTATAACCACAAATCATACAACTCAGAGAAAAATATCAGCCAGTATTGCCGAAGCAGCTGGAACTTACAATTTCTCTACAAATCTGTTGCATACGTTTCAAGACTTGACAGGGGCATCCTTTCCAAATTTCCAACACTTCCTAACTAATTCACAAGGAAATGAATGTGGCCTAGTTCTAACAGTTGGAAGCTCAAACCAAGAGTCAGCCACACCCCATCATAACTACCGACTGCAAGAGACACCTCCTTGGCTAAAGAAAGAAATATGAAATTTTGTATCCATGTAGATATCTATGAAATGACTTGACATTCAATATTATCAAATAATAAGTAGATAGGACCAGTTGCTGTCACCAGAAAGGTAAAGAAACAACTCCATTTGTGTAATGCATGCAAACTAAACAAATAGTTAAGCATGTTATAGCAGATGTAATACCCCAACATTGTTGTACTCCCATAGTTTACGAACACCATAATCCACAGCCTGCATGCATCAACAAAGATTAACCGGGATAAGATACCACATATTATTAAAAACAATTGCAAAATATAAGTCAGATTTTTGCAGTGATAAAGCGTAATTGAACTACCATAGCATTCAGCAAATTCAATTAGGCATTCACATAGTTGAACTACCCAAGAAATTTTTTAAATGCATCAATAAGTGCAATTCAAGTAGACTAGCCCCTTTCAGATTCAAAACATGAAAAAGATTTCCCACTCCATCAGATTGCTTAGAAAATATGTCTGTGTTTCTTAAGCAAAATCTAATCCAATTATACATTTATAGATTCATTTGCCATTGTGTCACATTTCATCATTTCCAGATCAAACCGTAGAAAAGTTCTCAAGCAAACAGAAGCTCATTTATATTCTCTATTGATCGGCTACTCCCAAAAATTTCAATAATGCAAGTGACATCTATGCAACATATGAGCTCTACATGGAAAGAGAGAAAAAAAGGTTTCCACTTAGCAAGTTTCATCAACAATTTTTGGTTTCTGGATCATTGTTTCCTTTGATCACGAGAAACAGATTTCTAATAATATTTTTTATAGCTTGCTATTTCCAAATTCTTACAAAAATTAATTCTTTTAAATAATTGATTAAAATTCAAATGCTCGAATAAGTTAGGGCACTGTTTCCGAAGTCACTAACTCCACTAATTCTTCAATTTTATACACAATAAAACATAAAACAATCTCACTAAAAATAAAATAAAAAATTCTTACCCTCTCACCGGCAAAAGCGCCGGCGATGACGAAGGTAACGTAGATGGAGTTACGGCGCATAATCAACTTGTAGATACCTTCGAACACGCCTCCTCCACTTCTTCGTGGTGTAGACTCCATCTCTTTTACTTTTTCAAGATCCCTCTGCTCAATTTTAGGGTTGCCAGATCACAAATTTCCAATTTACTCAGCTAATACATAAATAAATAAAAAATATTGAAGAAGTGAAATGACAATTATTCATCACCTTCGATTCAATTCACTAAAGAAGCAACAAAAACTAAATCGCGAGACGGAGAGAGAGTATTAACCCGAGTTCTCCACGGCTGCAACTAAGAAATTTGGAGGAGGACGAGGAGGTTAGGAGAACAATTAATCAACGTCAGTGGGGCTGCTCTACTGTTAAAACGATGTCGTTTCTAACAAGGGCCGAAAGTTAATTAGAAAGGAATCAGTTAATAGCTGGCCCAGTTAAGCCTATGAGATTGGCCCCAAACAGGCATGATTAATGGCCCAAAGCTGACAAACCTGATAACAATGACAGCTGACACGCACTTTTTCTGGGGGGCCATTTTCTCTTGAAAAACCCTATCTCCTACCTCGCTGCAAGTTGCTTATAAAAACCCTTTAAACCCTTCCCCGCCTCCGCCTCCGCCTCCCTCACTCTCACAACTCCCACAAGTCTCTCTCCACTTGAAACCTCAAACCCTTTAAGCTCTTTCATCTGTCGTCAGCCATGTCGTCCATGGAGTTCTGGGGTGAGCAGCTTCTTGCTCTTCTTGTTTTAGGATACAGTTTTTTATAATCTTTTTTCCTGTTTTTTATTCTAAATAGGGCCATCCCTTTTGTTGTGTTATGTTATCGATTGTTTGGTCATTTTATTTCTGCGTTTCTCTATGCTGTTCAGAGCTGCCCTTTTGTTTCTCTGTATGCTGTTCTATGAAACACACTGTGTGGGATTAGTTTTTATGGGGCGTGTTGTGTTTTTTCGGTTTTTGAGTTTAAGTTTTGATTTTCTGTTTGGTTTTTATTTTGGTTTCGTGTTTTTTTGTTCCTTTTTAGTTTGGAGTGGTTTTTTATTTTTACATCGGTTTTATAATGTATTTATGTAAGTTATGTGTACATGCTTATAGAACGAAACAAAGGAATAAAGATGCCCATTTATGAAGGAATTTGAAAATGAAGTGGAGAGATAATAGGATAATAGTATTGCTTGCTTTTTATAACTAGTATTTATAGTAATAGTTTTGTTCCTGCTATTTTCACTGTTTTTGTTTTCGGTTATGTGATTTATTTTGTGTCGGATGTTGTCTCTGATTGTTTTAATGGTGTGTTTTGATGAACAATGATAATTACTAGCCAAGTAATAGCATCTTATGCAAGCGGGTTTTATTTTTCTGTGTGTTTTGTGGTATGGTTGATGCAAGCGGCCACATTTCTAGGATGTTTTGTTTCTATTACCTATTTCTTGTTGTGTAATGAGGTCTAGGATTGGTATCGTTTCCATTTATTAATGTTACATAACTCCCTTTATTTCACTAGGTGTTGAAGTCAAGGCTGGTGAGCCCCTTAAAGTGGAACCCAAAGACTTCTGCATGATCCATCTTTCTCAGGTTAGATATATTAATTGAAGTATTCAACTACTGCTGAAATTAATTTGGCTTTGGTTTTTTTGTCTAACAAAATGTTTGTATCGACTTTTGTTCCTCAGGCAGCCCTTGGCGAGTCAAAGAAAGGAAATGAATCTGTTCCCCTTTTTGTTAAATTCGATGAAAAGAAGCTTGTGTTGGGGACCCTTTCTCCGGAAAACATTCCTCAGTTGTCCTTTGATTTAGTTTTTGAGAAAGAGTTTGAGCTCTCTCACAACTGGAAAAATGGGAGTGTTTTCTTCTGTGGCTACCAAGTTATTCCTGATGATGATGCTTCTGGTGAGTCCCTACACATACTTACAATGTGCCATTTTCTAGCTTTATTTTTCAAATTTTGCTGACTTTCTCAATGCATACAGATTTTTCTGGTGATGAAGAGGATTTTGAATTTGCGAAAGCTGATATTATGAAAGCTGCTACAGCTAAGGATAAAGCTGCCAAGCCTGAAAAACCAAAGGCTACTCTTGTAGAGCCAAGCATAGATGATGATGAGGATGATTCTGATGAGGATGATTCTGACGAGGATGGTGATTCTGAAGAGGTATCTTCTTGTAACTAGATGACATTAACCTAGTTACTTTTTCCCATAACCAAGAAACTAACATAGATATGCTTTTTATTTTTAGAATGCAATCACATCAGGGATGTGTGTATAGCACAAAACAAAGACGTTGACTGGGATCATACACTAAAGTATTACATATTTTAATTCTGGAAGGAATTCTTTGGCTTTTTAAATTTGATCAAGTAACCAAGTTTTTATGGAATAAAATGATGTAATATGATATGTTGTGTTTTTTCTTTTATTTTTATTTTCCCTACATTCTGGCCTCTGAAATTGATCAATTTTTGTGCTGCAGGGTATGTCTCTTGATGAAGATTCAGATGATGAATCTGATAGTGAAGATGAAGAGACTCCGAAGAAGGTATCAATATGCTGTTGACTGTCATTTTGGAATTAAATGAGATAGTTTCTTATTGTGTTTTTAATTTATTTTATGCTTTGAAGGCTGAAACCAGCAAGAAGAGGGCTAATGATTCTGCAACAAAGACACCAGTGTCCTCAAAGAAGGCAAAAACAGCTACTCCTCAGAAGACAGGTATTTTTTTAATATTGTTTTATGACTGTTTTGTTACAGATTTTCTGGGCCTTTTTTCAAGCTGAATGTATCCTATTTGTTTCTTGAGATGCGTTATTATGGTGATAGAGTTTTATGTTTGCTCTAATGCTTTACTCTGAACTCTTAATTCTACAATTTTTCTTAAATGTGGCTATATTTTTCCATCAAATATTCCCTGATTATGTCCTTTGGGTAGTCTGATGTGGAAATCTCTTGTATCCCATGTATTGTGTATGATTTTCTTCATTCTAACTCGTTGTATTTCTTTGGCTTGATCAAGATGGTAAGAAGGCCGGGCAAGTTACTCCTCACCCTGCAAAGGGAAAAGCTGCAGCCAATGGCAACAGCTCCAAGTCCCCAAAATCTGGCGGCAATTTCTCTTGCAAATCCTGTGACAGGTATGTACATACGCAACATTCTAGAAAAAAAATTCCCGTCAGTTCCCTATCCCTAAGTGATTTGGTTGGGTGACTGACTGCTTGTATTTATTGCTCAGGGCATTTGGCACTGATGGTGCTTTGAAGTCTCACTCACAAGCCAAGCATGGTGCCAAGTGAAACGACTACTAATTTATAGACTATATCTCATTGAAAGAACCATGCTATAGGGTTTTAGTAGTTATATGAGAGGTTTATGCTAGTAACTCATTTTGCAATTTTGTTAGAAATCTACATTTGAACAAATATTTTTTATGCATTATGTTTTGAGTTAAATGAAGCGGTTGTGATGTGATCATTACTATGTTGTTTAGCATGGCTGAAAAATCATTTCAGGAATTCATGACATTAGCTGCAAGTGGTTTAATCTTGTTCTAAAAATTATGATTGTTGAGGCCCTCATATTGGTGGAGCATTGTTTAGAAGTTAATTGATAACTGGCTTTCAGGTTGGAAGTGTAAACCTAGCTCTTTAACAAGCCAGTGCTTTCAGGTTGGTAGTGTTAACCGAGGTCTTTAACTAGCCTGAAAGTGTTCGGGGGCTCTATAAGTGCATAATTACTTCCCAAATTTGGGCAAATGATCATTTGAATCTTTGCTAAAATCCGTCCTGTTGGTTCGTCCAAATGGGTTATGGATTGGTACCTCTTAGATTTCTGCGTTCATATCTTTCCTCGATCAGGTGACTTCCTGATATTGAGGAAATTAAACTCTAGTGCCTGGGTCATTATCTCCTCAACTCATCCCGGACTGATATGAGCAAGTTTCAGTGGTTTCGCGGTAGATGTTGATGTTTTTAAGCTTGTTTTAGAGAAAAGTTGTAAATATACCCGTGGGCGTTTTCAATGGTATTGATGAGATATTATAAGAAATATATTGCACTTTTTAACTTGAAATATTAATTTATTTACTATGGCTAGGTTAACCCACCAGACAGCAACTTCAAGCAAAAGCGTCTAGGCATCAAGTACGTTGTAATTTTAGGTGATCGGCATCTTTTTGACATAGCAAACAATTAACAGCAGTATCCACACAAATTAAAATTTTAAATTGCTAGAATGGATTTCGTTTTTCCAATTCTTGCACAAACTACACGTGTCAAAATATCGAACGTCTAACAACAACATGGTCAGCGCAGGCAAGTACAGCGGCCCCAACGAGACAGATGAACGCAACTGCGACTCCTAACCTGCAACAAGACGTATCACTAGTGCTAAATGACCTTATGAACAATCATTCTGCTTCTGGATGATTTTGAACTGTAGTCTGACAGATCCTCTGACACTGCGCCCAACAACCTGTACACAAATTTCATGGTAAGCTGCAGTTAAAATAATTGTCTCGAAGAAGCAGGATACCTGAACCTGCAAAACTCATTAAAATGTACAGACCTCTATTTATTTCTCAATGTTAAAAAAAAAACATAGAGAGTTTAAGAAGCAAAACCCAATTTAGAACTGTGAAATTTGATGATGCACTAGCCTGATGTGCTTTGGCCAGAGTCCCCAACTGTAATACATGCAACACTAAAAACACGACATTCGCTGAAAATGAGCATCCTAACTGAGCAACTGGAAAATGAAAAATGATTAGAGTAGAGAGAAAACGAACCAGACATCAAAAGTAGATCAGTATCCAAATTCTCCTAACTGCAGTGGTATCTGCTGCTGATATTCATGATCATTTGCTTACTGTCCTTGTTACCATTGTCAACGTTTTACCTTATTAGCAGCATTTTCATGCTGTTCCCTTACCTGGTTCCATTGTGCAATTTTAGCTTGTCTCTCCTCACTACGTTCCCTAACTGGGCTTCGTTTACGCCTTCTCTGTCCTCTCCAATGTCCAGGGTTTATACTCTTATGCCTCCTGCTCCGACTTTCATGATACTCCTCCCGATCATCATATCTTCGACTAGAACCTCGCCCGCCATGCGAACACTCTTCATGGCTACATGCCTATAGGTCTTCATGCCCCAAACAATTAACGTCTCAACTCCCTAACATCAAGGAAAATAAGAAAATAAAAACCAACACAAAACAATCCCATGCCACGAGAGGACTCAGACAGATAAATGAATAAATTACCTGCCATTTCTTTTTCTTGCAATACCCACCACGATTACATACGTTCTCCTCATATTGCCTACAGGTAGCTTAACAGAAGTCTGTCACCGGGGAGAAACCCGCAATAATCAGACGCCCTGCAGTCATCCACATTCAGATTAAATATATAAAAAGAACAAAACCAAAAAAACCCCCAGGCATTGCCATGTACAAAAAACTAAAAAATGGGCATAAAAAATCTGACCAGGAAAAAATCTCACTGTCAAATCCTTAAGTGCTTTGGAAGAGCGCTCGTGCTCTCTAAACCGAACATAAACATTACCCACCTATGCAGACACGTAAAATAAATATGGAATACTAATTGTCACCATATGCTCAGCAAGATTGTCACAGACATTCAAGCTCTAATTTCTCCGTATTTGCTTAGCTCCTCATAAAGATCTTGTAATTGATTACAGTTGAATTTTTTTGAAATAAATTAATTACTTGAAACTCAACTGTAAAATAATAAATAAATAAATAAAATTAGAGTCATAATTACCTCGAAGTATTGCTGGATTTTGCGAGGATCGATGGTGTTACCCAGTGCATCAACCGCAGGAGTGATCATATCACGACGCCGGTACATGTTTGATAAGAGAAGAGTACGGCTGATGCTTGGTTTGGTGTGGAGACGAGAGCATCGGTCAACGTGTCTACAAGCTAGGCTCTTGAAGTAAAACGGACAGTTCACCCTGTCTTTCTCTGTTCCAAATATCGAGGCCGCCATTGATAAGCCAAAGAAACTCTCTCTCCCTGTGCTTTCTCCTTATCGGATTCAGATACGCCAATTTTGTTTGCGCTCTCCTATTTCTCTGTCAAAGGAGAAATGTTACTTCGTCGAAAGTTTAGAAGTTGATATATATGTGTGTGAACATATGTTCATCGAGCTGGTTTGCCCGAGTGGTTAAGGGGGAAGACTTAAGATCTTCTGTGCATAAGCACGCGTGGGATCGAACCCCACAGCCAGCAGTTGACATTATTGATTATTTTTTTTCACTCATTTACTGTATTTGAATAAAATATATTGCGTCTGCCGGGAGTCGAACCCGGGTCTATTGCTTTGAAGGCAATTATCCTAACCGTTGGACTACAAACGCTTGTTTGATATTGTGTTCTTAATGAATATTAATGATTATGAAGACGTCAACGGAACCCATCCAAGTACTCGCCGTTTTCTTTTAATAAAGAATCCGGTTCTTTAAAGCCCAAGCTGCGGTTAAAAGAGATAGGAGTGTGGTTTCTTACTAATTCGAGGCCCAGGGGGTCAGACTTGGCATGATGTGAAGGCTTCTAAGTTCTATTCATCCTGCCCATGTACCTTAACAAGTTGAATCAGATCTAAATCTAAATTCACAGATCTAACTGGAAGGGAGTCGTATAGTTGCTAGTTGCTAGATGTGATTTGAGAACTTATTTCCAGAAAGGGTATGGGATGTCGAGTCATTTGTCCATCCACGAGCATCAGGTGAATTATCTTAGTCAAAACAGTGTAATTTTATTATTTAAAAAATAATCTTAGATTTGATCGAGTTAATTAAGTCATTAAAAATTCAATCTGATTAATTTTTAATGGTTAATATATTTTTTGTAATTCAATTTAAAACTTGTTCTCAATCACGGGTTTACTAGTGAATCCATCGCATCATGTCGATTTTAATAACTATAGTCTGTTCAAATGAATAAAATTTTGAAAGAATATAGTAACTAACGTGCAACACCTTCAATCAGGATCGACTGACAGTTGATACAGAGATTCATGGACAGATTGGTCTTCTGTTGTGGCCATGTAATTGTGCATTTGAGCTGTTTGGTGCACTTCATTAGTTGCTGGTTACCCTTCCTGGCTGGGTATACAAGGCCTCATAAAATCACTAGTTGCCCTAAGGTTTACTTTTCCACGAGTAGACAGCTGCCATGCCAGGACTTGTGCTACCCCCCCAAAGCTTTTCGTTGTCGCTGTACAGATTGAAAAGGGCACTTCATTAGGCAATTGGGGGTGTTCATGTTTGCGTAGTGCCAACAGAAGGATAGCCTATACTTGTCTCAATCGAATATGGGACTCTTCCCCTCAATAATTGGAAAGATAAACTAAACCAACTCAGTAAAGAGTGGCTGTTATTTTTCAGAAAAGAGTTCATCGTCGCATTTATGCTATCAGTCAGTCCACCTTGTGTTGTTGTGTCTTTTTTCCCCTTTGGTGCTGGTGGGGACAGCTTCTCCGTTATCCTGGTAACGGCAGTTTTAATGACTCAGTTATTCAATTCAGTGCTTGGCATTAGGCAGTCTTGCCTTACCACGACCATTATTAATTAATGCACAAAGTTTAGTAATATCTATCGCTGTATCAAATAATTGTGAGAACATGGCAGATGAGCCATTCAGTATTGTCGTATGTAATTCGAAAACTAATCTAGAAAAGAGTCTAATGAAGACATTAGTCTTTAAATGAACAAAATCTGGTACACTCCATTCCATACAAGGCCAAGATGGTAATTATGGCTAATGAGTCCATTGTTTGATTGAGAAAATTGTTGCTCTCAAAACTCATTTCTATTTTGTTTGAAATTAGACGTCTTTTGGGTGATTCATATTCTGTCCATATTGTTGATCTGTAGCAGACTAATTTTGTCCCCCTCCGTTTTACTGATTCAAGTGCAAAAGGGTTAGGCTCAGATAAAATCGATGCTTTGAACAGAAGAAACCAACATGGAGCTTCTATTAAGTCTTAATCATTTGACAGGTTATTCCTTCAAACAAAATTAGCCTTGCAAATGACAAAGTGTCACGCAAAAAAATAATGGAAATGTTAAGCTGGAGATTAATGAATGGCTCCAGATTGGATGGATTTTGAGACATAATCCATGTCTCATGGGAAAAATGATTGCAACAAAGCAAGGCACGAAAAGCATTCGCTAGTGTAGGTATAAAACCTTAAACGATGTTGCTAAATTGACCCGCTAACCCATCACTCGGATCTTGAACGAGTCATATCCAAACCAAATCTTATAATTATATTTCTTGAAATAATGATGATGATAATAATAATAATAATAATAATAATCTACCTTCTATCGCCAAAATCAATAAATGTGGCCTTAGTTCTGTTCAAAGCATCAAATTCTCATGAAGAACCCAGCAAGACAAGTGAACTGGCCCTGTCTTGGAATCATTTTCGCATTAAAATATTGTGTGTCAATGTGTATATTGGCAATGAAAAGATTTGATACATTGGTGGAGTTGAGTTGTTCTCCTTGTCTATTGGGTTCTCCAACAAGTCACACATATTTCTGGCAACCCAATGGAGCTCTATTTACTTCGTCCTGCATCGTCTAAACGAGAAAATAATGGGCCTTCTATGCAGTACGTCTTAGATATGGACCTTCACGGATTTTTCGGGTACTTCAGTTCAGTCCCTCTGTGGGGTTACATAACTGGAGAGAGACCTCTCCTGTCTTCTAAAAGCTCTCCACAGCTTAGGATCATTCACCGCCACCGACAACTGGACTTGAACGTTGAAGCAATTTGGATAAAAAATGAAGCAGCAGCAGCAGCAAGATAGGTGGTGGGTAAACAAGAAAATGACTTCTCATACATACAGTAACATTGGGTGGAGAATATAAACCAGATGCTTGAGAATATATTGGCCTATAAAGAACTGACCCCATGTAGCAGAAAAATGGGGGGACTATGGTCTCCCACGTTAAGGGCAGCGAGAGTAAGGGAACCCGATGCATCACTGCTAGAATTGACAAGTCACGTTGTCATTGGAGAGATGATAAGACTAAGGGAGTGCTAATTCCAAAAGGGCTTAGCACAGAACGGCAACCAAGTGAGATGACATTTCAACTTACTGGTTTATAATATCTTAAATCTTTGGGTGATTGTTTGGAGGACACATGTGAGAGTTGTTGTCAGATCCTTAACAACGTTAGTATAATAAATTGTTTTGATTTGATTGAAGAATAACCGTAGAATTTAGACAAATTGTCTTAATTTATTATAACCTGTTACAATGGTGAAAGATCCATGTTGGCTAATGGCTAATGCTATATATTTTGAAAGGGCACAGAGCACGTGCCATGTAGAGGAAATCTCGCTGAGATTGGAACACTCATGCAATCTAGCATGCTTTGATTCCTTTAAAAAAAAAAAAAGATGAATTAGATTATGATACTCTCCTAGGTGAACATTCAAATTAAGCTCTAAAACTCAGCAATTAAAATGGTTCTTTGGAAACTAATCCTATCTTAGAAAAGACTACAGCTTTGAGTCGTTCCCTTTGCTGATACAATTTCCTTGCCATTTCCTGGAGAGCTGATGCTATTTCTGACAACCCTTTGGGGCAATCATTCATTCCCTGGTTACGCCATGGCTTAATTTCCTTGAATGTACAACTGTCATACAGAGATTTAAGCCATTGCTTCAAAACTCTTCGTTGTTATTCTAACAATTGAAAAGGGCACCTCGTTAGCCAATTAGGGGACCTTGCATGCCTTGGGTGTTAATGTTTGATGAGTGGCAACATTAGGGCAGACACCACTTGTCTCAATCAAATCTCGGATTCTCTCGCACAATAATTGGAAAGAAAGATAACCCAATAAAGATTGGCTGTTATTTATCAGTAAAAAAAGGTTTCTGACACACATTATATACACCACGTGCCTTGTGTTCTGTTTTCGCGTGTGGGTATTTTTTTTCCCTTTGGTTTTGGTGGTAGGGACAAGTTCTGCAATGTTATGATAGGAGGAGTTTTAATGGCACCGTTGCTCAATTCAGTGGTTGGCATTAGTTACTCTTGCCTCACCATGACCATTTATTGATGTACAAGAATCGGTCATACGCTGTCAAATAATTGTGAGAATGTAGCAGACGAGGCATTACTCTAATTAGTCTAACCACACCACGATCTTTCTTTAATGAACAAGGTTTGGTATATTCCATTCAATATAGGGCCAAAAAAGGGGGCAGAATATAGCCAATTATGAGGCATTAATCTAGTTGTAAAAGGCTTAAGATTTAGGGTTCTCAGAGTTGAGTTCTCCTGTATATTTAAATACTTTCACCCCAAGATCATAAAAGAACATAAAGAAAAGAGTGATGTGGGGATGGAAGTGATGATCTGAGCACATTGTTTTCTCACTAAAAGGCTATCAAAACAGCTTGCTTTGGAAGTTTCCATAATCAATGACTAAGAGTTCTAGTTTTCTAAGATGGTGATTATCATTACTCTTATAATTCATTTTTATATTGTCTGCAGTTAGGTTTACTAAATTATAAATCTCTGGTTTCTGATCAGAATGGAGCTGTTAAATGGTGTATATTACAACTGCAGGCTATTATTATTGTGCTCCCTATCCTTTCATTGATTCAAGTGCAAAAGGCTTGAGCACAGAAAATATTGACACTTCTATTAGAAGAAAGAAAGCAGCATGAAGCATCTTTTAAGGCTAATCATTGAAAGGTGATTCCTTGAAACAAAATTAACCTTTGTAAATGACGACAGGGTAACACAGCAAAACAATTGCACATAAAAGCAAGAGGTAAAAAACATGGCTCTAGATTGGATGGATTGTGAGAGATAATTCTTGTCACAGGGAACAAATGTCTGGCACCAGGCATGAGAAGTATCCATAAGGAAGTCCCATTCAATTGTCTACATCTACAGGAAAACAAAGAACATTAATGGATTGCCAGGCACTTGGATTTAGGACTCCTAAAAAATGCTTAGGCCAGAACGTGAGTACGCATACAATTATTGCAAGAATAGGTTACCGATTGCAGGTATATTATTTTTTAAAGTATTTTTTATTTAAAAATATATTAAAATAATATATATTTTTTAAGATA